ATTTGACAGTTGATTGATTGACAACTACTCAAATTGACGTATGATGTCACAAAGTGACAGTTACAATTATGAGTTACAATAGTCGATATATCTTAACTACATGATGATGATGTTACGAAGACTACATTCATTGGTAATTAAAAAGAGCGTATTTTCGGGACTTGCAAAACTTTAAATCATAACCGCGATTAATCTCCGTGACAGCTTCCATGTGATTACGACAGGAGTCATAACTCATCCGAAACGTCATCCGCCGCCCTCTGGTTATATAACTCTGTCAAGTCACGTGTATTTCATTCATTCTCTCAGTTCCATTGTGAAAATTTTAAAATTAAATGCGATTATAAAAATGCTTATAAATTAATAATACCCAACAGAATAAAATAAAAGAAAAAAACTGTACAACAGGGCAAAAGTCTGCGTTTGAGAAATGCCCCTTTTTAATTTCCGGTCTCCACCAATCGTTTTTCCTTGCGTAGTTTTTTTTTTTAAATAAAAATAAAAAGAACTGGGTCAAATATCAAACTGCAAGCGGGACGCTAATTGCTGGAACGGACGAATAAAACCCGGAAAATTTGGTGCAATAAAGGAGCATTTTCGTATATCGCGTTGTTCCAAAAATCTGCAGCGGTTGAAAACAATGGCTCGGATTAGTCTTCAAACATGGGTTGCTATGTTCGGTTGCCAGGACGATGAATCAACAAGCTTTAATTTAGTTCTCGAATCCGTCGTCGTCCTTAAATGCACGCGTGTTTGTGCAAATCGAATGGAAACTTTAATGAACGAACGAATGAATGATTAAGCTTTAGACGCTCGTTAAATACGTCCGGTCTGCAATGGTGATGTAAGACACGCTGCGCTCACTAATTGGAGGCAGAACGGAAATCAATATGCCCGGAACTATTATTAAACCCTACCGCAATTCACTAAAGAATAATGGAAGACTTGCTTTCATCGGTTTTCTGATCGAAGCGTGCCTTTAACACGTTAAGGACGGCGCTTTTCGGG